GTCATCTATGTTGAATCTTTTCCTGAGTAAATCCTTAGATGGATAAATATCGTTCATAATTTTGAAGTGTGTTTCTTTTGGAACTATAGGAAAGGCTAAGTACAGAGATCTTAGTTTAGTGATTGTGTTTTTGTCAAATTTATTCAAAATATTATTTTTATTTTGTTGTCCAGGAAAAAGGTGATCAGTTAAGCATTTTCTAATATAAGAATTATTACATTTTTTTTCTGAGATTAGGGTCCCCTGAATCGATAGGGGGGGTAGTTGTGGTTGTATAATTTGGTGGGCCATTATATTTTTAGTTAAAAATATAAATTCTTGGGGAAGAGCGTTTTGCAAACGTAGAAAGTCAGAAATAGGAGGGTTGAAATCAAATTTAATACAAAAGTGTTGATAATCCAGTAAATTCCCCTCATCATCCATCAAATGGGTTACAGACCAAATATCTTTTTCAAACCAGTCTTTGAAGAATAGAGATTTGTTGTGGTGCAGAACGGATCGGTTGTTCCAGATTATCGTAGAGTGTGGTGAGAAGTTGTGTGTATAACATTTTCCAGTATAACAGTATTTGTTTATGAAATTCTGACAATCGCACAGGAAGCTTACTGACATCAAAGTGTGAAATTAGCAGCAGGTTTAAGCCACCCAGTGGCTAAAAAGGAAGTTAGGGATACAAACCAAAATGAACTGTGATGCTTAATCCAGGATTTGAGCCAGTTTATTTTTAACATTCCGTTAAGACAATCTAAATCTATAACTTTAAGACCACCTTCACATGTTTCTTTCACCATATTACTTTTTTTAAAATAATGTGGCCTATTTCTCCAAATGAAATTCAAATTAACTTGGTTGAAAGATTTAATTTATTTATGTGAAACAGCATTTGAATAAATTGGGTATATACATCGTGATAAACTTTCCATTTTCGTTAAATATATTCTACCTAAAATTGATAAGTCTCTTTGGAGCCACAGATTCAGTTTGGTTTTGCAGTCAGTGAGTTTGCCTTCAACATTGATTAGTTGACTGTTTTTTTGCTCTTTAGTTAGGTGGATACCCAAATACTTAATATCTGACTTGATGGGAACTTGGTAAAGGACTTTAACAGGAGTGTCATGAAGAGCAAAAAGTTCACATTTATTCAGATTTAAGGTCAGACCTGAAGCCTTGGAGAATTTTTCTATATGTTGTATAACTATTGGGATCTGATGTTCATTTTTTTTTAAAATTGTTGTGTCATCAGCTAGCTGGCTGATGATMATTTCTGTACCCAGAACATTCAAAGGTTTAATGTTCGTACTGTTTTTAATATAAATAGCTAACATCTCAGTTACTAAAATAAACAAATAAGGTGAAATCGGGCAAACCTGAGGAATTCCAACATCAACTGTAAAATTAGGAGTAGAGCCATTAGGAAGAATAACACAGCTGTTAATGTTTTTATAGAGTCCGCCAATTAGGTTTCTAAATTTAATACCAAAACCAAAATGTTCTAGGGTAGACAAAATAAATCTGTGTTCTACTGAATCAAAAGCCTTGTAAAAATCTAAAAAGAAAATAAAGCCATCATCTTCAATGAGCTCTCTATATTCGATCAGGTCCATAACAAGTCTTATATTATTATGTATCGATCTACTTTTCAAAAAACCTGACTGTGTTTCTGCAATAATATTTGATAAACCTGATTGAAGACGAGAAGCGAAAATGTAGGTTAACAGTTTATAGTCTGAGTTTCTGAGCGTAATAGGTCTCCTATTTTCTATCAATCTGGGATCTTTATTAGGTTTTGGGATAGATATTATGACCCCATGTCTCATTGTAGGTGGAAGTGTACAAGTT